TTGGCTCTGATCAGGGTTTTTTTAATATAAGCAAAAGAATTTTTTGATCTAAATATCTTGCTTTAAGTCTCCATGAAAATGTAGTAATAAAGTATATGAAGTTTTTTTGTTTTGTTTTTTATTTTTCATTTTGCTCTGTGACTGGTTTAAAGGTAAGTTTATTATATTACTGGTAGATTTTGCCAGGCTTCTCCCAACAGAGTAGAAGTGATTTGGCCTTGTAACTTAGTGGCGGTACCACCTTCTACATTCCAGTCTTGAAAAGGATGGAACTGGAATTTAGTATAACTCCTGTCAGTATATTGTGTAAAACAGAGGAGAGGCAGGAGTTTGGGTGGTTGAATGGGATTCCCTTAGGATTTTACAGCTGATAAAGGTGCCCCTTCCTTTGCATGTCCCAAGCATCATTAATCCGCTTTTACTCTGTTGGGATGAGTCTTTTTTTGTTCCTGTTCAGAGTGGTTACTAACTTAATCTTCTCTCCTCTTGCTGTCACCTGCATTCGTGCTTCCCACCTGTTGTTGGCATGTCCTTTACCTTCTCTTTCCCTGCAACATCAACCTACACACTGACTCATTGTTGGCTTTGAAGATGTGGAAGATGTCAAGTTTGTGATCAACTATGACTATCCAAACAGCTCAGAGGATTATGTGCACCGTATTGGCCGAACAGCCCGTAGCACCAACAAGGGCACTGCCTACACCTTCTTCACCCCAGGGAACCTAAAGCAGGCCAGAGAGTTGATCAAAGTGCTAGAAGAGGCTAATCAGGCTATCAATCCAAAACTGATGCAGCTGGTGGACCACAGAGGAGGCGGCGGAGGAGGGGGTAAGGGTAAGTCCTGGAGTTTTCCAGGTACTGCCAAGGTATCTATTTTTGTGTTCATTGTGCCTTATTTTTTTAATCCAGTGAAGGTTTTATGTATGTTACTTAGAAGAAACTGTGAAAAATTACTAAGTAAGACAATATGACATTTGGGGCCTGTCAAAACCTTAGTGGTTTGTTATGTTTTCAGTTTTCCATATAGAGAAATCAATAATTTCACACCGTTTATGATGGTAGAGACAGGTATAGTTTAACAGTTGCAAAATACACTAGGATCTGAGTTTCTTGCCTATCAGTTTGATAGGATTTTTCCCCAGTTTACTGCATGTTAAAGCTCTACATCAGAATTCCTTTAGAGGTTTTTAAAATACAGATTTTTTTTTTTGAAATTGAGCTAGGAACCTGAACTTTTATTCTAAAGCTTGATCATTCTGATGTAGTTAGGTCTGCAAAGCAACATTTGAGAACCACTATGCACTAGTGGAGGATCCCTTTGTGGTGGTATGAACTTAGAGGCTTGCCCCCCCCCTTTTCCCTTGTTTTTTCCTTTTTTTTTTTTTTTTTTTTTACCATTCTTACGATCCTTCCTGCATTTTTTAGAGGGTGTTTCTTGGTAATCTTCAAATAATGAAAGGGCCTAGAAGGTGAAAAGTTGAATATTTGAATATATTCTCTTAAAGAGTCAAATTATGGGTGATTTTTAAAAATGTTCATTTGGAAGCTGGCCTAGCTAAATTAAGAAAGAATATGAATACTTTTATACCTAGTAGCATTTTCACGTGTGGTTAATGTTTGAATCATGTATCTGGCATTGAAAATTCCTTATGTCCTCATCAGGAGGTCGTTCTCGATACCGGACCACTTCTTCAGCCAACAATCCCAATCTGATGTATCAGGATGAGTGTGACCGGAGGCTTCGAGGAGTCAAAGATGGTGGCCGGAGAGACTCTGCAAGCTATCGGGATCGTAGTGAAACCGATAGAGCTGGTTATGCTAACGGCAGTGGCTATGGAAGTCCAAATTCTGCCTTTGGAGCACAAGCAGGCCAATATACCTATGGTCAAGGCACCTATGGGGCAGCTGCTTATGGCACCAGTGGTTATACCGCCCAGGAATATGGCGCTGGCACTTACGGGGCTAGTAGCACCACTTCAACTGGGAGAAGTTCACAGAGCTCTAGCCAGCAGTTTAGTGGGATAGGCCGGTCTGGGCAGCAGCCACAGCCACTGATGTCACAACAGTTTGCACAGCCTCCAGGAGCTACCAATATGATAGGTTACATGGGGCAGACTGCCTACCAATACCCTCCTCCTCCTCCTCCCCCTCCTCCTTCACGTAAATGAAACCACTCAAGTGGTAGTGACTTTTGTGCAGACTTACTACATTTAAAGCAACGCTATCTTTCCCTTTTTCCCTCTTCCCTTTTTCTTTCTTTTTCTTTTTAAATTTTTTCCCCCAACCATTGTGATTTGTCTTTCATGCAGCTTAGTTAGAATTCACTGCCAGGTTTCTTCTGCCCGCCAAAATGATCCAGTCTGTTGTAGTAACAGATTTTGTAAAAGTATATATATATGTATAGCTGACTGGAAGAGATTTTTTCCCCCCCAACTTCTTGCATGTTGAGGATATTTGAGCTATTTTTCATCTTAAAAGGTATTGGGCCCTTTTGTGGGAGCCCATTTTTTTTGTCCTGAGTTGGGGTGGGGGAGGGTGGAGAGTTGAATTCAGCAGAAGATGGCATCTGTGCTTTAAATTGCTCTCATTACTGGAGTAGGAAAAAAAACCCAAGAGTGAGTTCCCTACACATTTTCTGTAATGCTTTTTAATGTTTCTCAAGCTGGAACAGGGTTCCTCAGGCCTGATGAGTTTTTAAGACAGTGCTTTACCATTGTCATTTTGGCTGATTGCTTGTTACGTGCATTTGACAGTTTAAAAAAAAATTCCTAATTGGCCTTGTATCCTATATACTCTGCCTTCCCCCTTCCCAATTACTGAAAAATAACCATTTTAGTGTCAGGTTAGAAATTAAATTGCTGAGTCTGAGTTTTTTTAATGTATATCTTTTAAATTAAAAATCCCAGATGCTTACTGCAATGGTTAAATGTAGCATCTCAGCATCTGGGTGGAAGCTGCCTATTTTTCTTCCCCATTTAACCAGGGACCATCTGTGAAACTGATTTTCCAACCAAGACAGCTGCTGTGAGCAGAACATAGATGCTCACTGGAAATTTATTAACCGGTTAAGTATTCATTCACCTGCAGTGTAAGAAAACACCTTTAATTATAAACAATATACTCAGTGGGCAAATTTTCTTTTTAAACTTACTATCTGTAGAGCTAGAATAAAAGCAACTCCTTGCCAGCTGCTCAGCCGTTTTGGCCACATTATCTTGAATCTTAAGGGTCTATTAAGAACTCTTAACTCTCTTCATACTCTGTTCTCTGCATTGCTTTGTAACAGCTTTTGGATGCAGATTTTCCTCAGCATCCTTTTGCACTCAGCTTTTCACAGGTAGGTAGTGTTTAAGAAAAGTTACAGAGGACTAAAGCCCAAGTCCTTTTACTTTTCCTCCATCTGAAGGTAGGTGAGATTGTCTCCTTCATATAATACCAACTGTTTTACTGGGACTTCCTATAGCAGATAGGCCTGGAAAGAATTTCCTTCTCCTGTTCTCTGTAACAGGAGAGGAAGATCAGTCAGCCCCAGAAACCTCTTCCATATCCAGTGTGGGACTATTTTTAATAGTTACTGGTATTGTTCATTCATAGTGTAGTTGAAGGGGGAAGGCTCCACTGCATTCTTTGGCTAAGGCCTGAGAGTGCCTACTAGTTTGTAAGATCTTAATACTTGAGGTTTTTGTTTTTGTTTTCCTTTTAAAATTCTTTAGGGAGAGAGAAGGGATTATTTCTGAGGGGTACTGAAAGTGTGGTTGAATGTGCAACATACAGGTAGGTTGTCAGCATAAGCTGAAATAAATGCATGTAAGAATTTTGACACCATTCCCTCCCCCTTTCTTCTGTAATTTCTCTTTTTCCCCTTAGAGAAGTTGAGGTTGAGGGAGGATGGTAGGCACAGGAAAAAACATGGCAACACTGCTCTGTGCTTTCAAACCAAAGTATCTCTCCCTCAGAAAAAGTTTGTCTAAGCACTGATTAATCCATTGTAGATGTTTTTCTTCTATACCAAAATTCTGTTTTGTTTTGTTTTGTTTCGTTTTTTTAAACACAAAGGTGCCACGACGGGGTATCCTCTCTTGCAGGTCTTGAAAGCATCTCTTTGCAGGAAATGTCTCTGGGCAAGCAAACAGTATTTGGTCTGCTGCTTGCTTCCCTTCTTCCTCCAGGGGTGTATCATAAAGTCAAAATAACAGCATATTCCAAAACTCAAAAGCTATTGTGGCCTGAGCACAGCTGAAATCTAGTAGAGTTTTTACTGTGTAACTCGAGTTAAATCTTCTGCCTCTATGCCACTCATAACTCAGGTTCTGCCTTTGCTTCAGAACATGAGCAGAAGAATCCTCATTTGATGCTAATTATTGCAGTCATGAATGAAACTCACTTAGGGAAAGGATGTCCATATTAAGCTATGGGACTGCTTCTCCCCAGTCCCTCCCTAACAATTCATTGCGTGGACTTCTCTCATCTAAAAGGTTGGTGGCTTTTGCTTGGGATCAGTGCTCTCTATTCACGTACTTGCTGGTCTCTGAACACATTCCTGTTGCGTTAAGACTTGAAAGATTTGTGGATGTGTGATGTTCAGGCACAAGATGCTAATAAGAGCTTATGTTAACTATTCTTAGTTTGTAAATTGTCCTTTTGATACCATCTTGTTTTCTTTTGTAGGTATAAATAAAACACTGTTGACAATAAGGTGTGTGATTTTTATTGCTGGAAAAAATTCTGTCTGTAGTCCAATGGTAGTCTCTTTATTTGCTTTAAGACCAAGGTTGGGGATATTGGATTGACTAACACCTTAGCACCTAAAAATGTGAAAGGGAGGTGGGATTGACTGGCCTTAATGCAAACATCTGAGTCACAAAGCAACAA